AATGCCCCCTTTGAGTTTCCAGTACTTGATGAAAACCTACAATATTAGCTGTTGGGTTTGTATAAAAAACAGAACATTTTGTGAAACAGTGACTTACAGATCTGATCCTCTCTAAGATCTTGCGCTAATTCATAAAAATCGCCAGGCATTCCACAGGAAAAACATAAATTTAGATGGAATGGAGGACATAGTGGTGGTGTATTTGTTTTAGGTTTTTGATCGAGGATTCTATCATTACTTGGTTTCCTAGACCCAGGCTGGTTTGCATAGTGGCCCACGTTCTTTGTCGGTTGAGTCGCAAATGTCTCTATATCCCATAAATGTGGGTCATCTTGTTCCCCTCGTGTCGACACTGGTGACTAGATTTCAGTCGCGGTTTTATATTAAGCTTTATTCTCCTTTAAAATTTTCTCAGAACGATTGCATTCTCGTTTTAACTCAGCCAAATTTTGAAATGCAGCTGAAAATATTAGGGTTGATTAATTGGGTTTTACATTATTTTTAATAGTTGAGGCCAACTGTCTTTCCGGCATTTTTTTTCTTAGCTTGAATGTTAAATTATAAACGTCCGCATAAAATTGATCAAAACTTTCTTAATCTGTTGCTTTCTGTCTACAAATTCACGGATAATTTCATAATCACTTTCTGACGATCGAATCTGTTCTAGCAACTCCTTCTTTAACTGAAAATAATCAAACGTCTCAGCTCCAGCATGATCTTCGAGCACATGCCAAAACCACTTTAAAGCTAGTCCAGTCACTAGACAATGAAAATCCGTCAGCAGTTGATGATACGATACTTCGTACTGCTCACGCATACGCTCAATTCTGAAAATGAAGCTTTCTACCGTCATATCTTTAGCGGAGCCGTCAATCTTAATATGTCACCTTCCCAGATCGATGTTACTTCTGGACATATGTTCATCTCTTCAAAGAGCATTGACATTTGTTGATGAGTCCTTGTGTTTTCGGACACGCTCCGCACATGGCTTTGTTCAGCCGAGATTTTTCGTTTGGAAAACCCGTTTTCTGCGTTGCCATCCTGGGCGTCCTTGAGACACTTCTGTGAGTTAACTGGGTTTCATGGGTGGTGCCTCTGTCACCCGCGTCTGATTGCGTAGTGTAAACATCTCGGTTCTCATTTAGTTCATGCCGCTAGGTAGGTACTCATTTTGCTGCATCATCATGCCCATAATACTGCTGAGCTGCTCTGTGTCTACGGTTGGTTCCAGAGCTTGTGCCCCTGCGTGCTATTGCTCCTCCCTTCCATTGTGGCTGGGATTTCTAAACGTATTAAATCGATTTGCGAATTGAAAATAAGCGATTTATCTGAAATATTATTTCCAACTATCGGTTCTCTAATATTGCTCTTGATGTGCTTATAGTTACCGGCGTGTCAATACAAGTAGTAACTATCTTAAAATTCTACAAAAAATAACCTTTTCAATTGCTGTGGGGTATGATATAACGACTAAAAGAAATTATTTTATAAATTAGTAGATCTTTATTTGTTAATTGTTGAAATAATTAATTGTAGTAATTGTGAATTAATTAATTACACTGAAATATAACTATACCACTCAAGTTCTTTGAATGTAATAACTTGACTAAATTTGGTATTAAATATGGCTTTGGGGGGTAGTTAAGTGTTGCGACCACACAATTCCACCTAAGGTAGGGTTTCTTCTAACTGATGAAGAGATAACGCGAAGGTGACGGTTTATCATAAGAATCAAACAAACAACCAAATTCCCAAAAACAAAAGCTGGATGAAGGACATTTTTATACTACACTGGTGCTACATAAAGAAACCTTAAAACCATTCCATTTTACCTTTATTAAATCAAGATAAGATTTTTTTTTACATGGAGTAAATTTTTAATTTATGGTTCTTCCAATTACTTAGCTTACAATGAAAAGTCAACTTCACACAGAAATAATTCTATGTGGAGGAACCTCACTGAAGCATAATTAAAAAAACAATAAAAATCAAAACTATTTGACAAGAGGACAAGATTTCTCATTGAACTGATTCTACATGAAGGAACCTACAATGCTAGTAGTAAGAATAACATCACTATACTACGTCGCAATACCTAACCTTTATTGACAGAAAACAGGCAAGACGGATGTTAAGCTCTTAACCCACCGAATTAAGAGATCAACCGCGCAATTTAGAAAAAAATGTAAATAAAAAGCTCAAAAAAAAAACAAGCACAAAAATCCATATATTAAAAACCGTTCTCCCTCGCATCTCACACTTCAGATGTCGCATCTTGTTGGTTATTGGATCAATATTTGTTATGTTCATTTGTCTTCACGTCTTCGCTAATTCGTTGTTGTGAGTCGATCCGTCCGTTAATACAGTCCTTGCGTAGAACGTTGATAATTTTGTTAGTTGAGTCTCATTCATTCAGAAACTTCATAAACTTCATACCTCTGAAACAATTTATAAAGCGAGGATAAAACTCTATGTCGAACGAATTCAGTATCGAGGAACCTGAAAAAAAACCATCACACCTGTCTAACATTGCAATACCTATTTCGTCATAACGAACACAAGGCAAGTCAGACGCTAACTCAAAAAAGTAAAATAACTTATCACACAATCTACATATAATTTCCTATTATTTCATGAACTAATTATGTTCATATCTAATTCAATATCTACACTTATAAACCTGATACCTATTTAATTCACATTTCATTGTCTGGACTTTCTTTAACATTTCAAATCTCTATCCAAGCTGCAGAAAAAAAATAAAAAAAACGAGCGAAACCAACTATTCTCTATTTAGTTTTTTCTGAATTTAAAAAAATTTTCATCATATAAAATAGGGAGAGTTCGATTCCCGATTCTTACAATTACTGCCGCAACCGTGGGAAGTATTGTGCAGGTTTGGTTAGAGCCTATCTGCATGTTCTGCCCCTGGGCAACCCCGCAGTAAAAATTTTTGCTCAATGCCAAAAGTCATGTTTTTTACATATTTCATAACTACAATCATCGCTATCGCTAAAACTCCATCGCTAAAATTCTTTAAATGCATTTTAGCGACTTTTGCGATTCTGCTAACTCTTTACGCTTAATTTCTATTCGCTCATTTTCTCAACTTTCAAAAACAGCTGAAAACAGGTGATACTTGTAAAAGTATTCTTTGTTTCAAATTTAAATTATAAATCCAACAGCTGATATTTATTCACAATTTTTGTTTTTATTTTGACATTTCAATGCATTTAAGCATTATCCACATCGCCGGATAAATTTAGCAAAGAGATTGTGTTATCAGAATCGCACGATCGCTTATTCTCCTAAAATAAACGAATCGCTTATTTAAGAATTTTAGAGAAGAGATTGGAGTTTTAGCGATAGCAATTAGTGGAATTGGACTGCTGGTTTTTTAAAAACCCAGGAATTACTCAATATTTAAGTCGTTTTTCTAAATGTGTGCAAAGAGGCTGAATCTTCATTGAATTGTGCCATTGTGCCATTTGTATCTTAAACTCATCTGTTGTTGGGATCCACACTTGACCCAATGTCTTAATGTGACCGCATTCCATCGTGTTGAAGTCTAGTTCTACAGCTATGTCGGTTGGGTGCAACCCTTCAATTAGTTTTGGATGATTGCCGCACCATTTGCGAAGCTTAAAGCCACCCTTGTGCAATAGTTTTATAAGTTCGTTCCGTGCATGTAATGCTTCAGACATACTGTTGAATCCTGTCATGACGTCATCTACGTAAAAATCTCTTTTGACGATAGCTGCAGCTGTCGGGTGCCCACTTTCCTCAATTTGAGCCAACCGTTGCAAGCATTTCGTGGCAAGATACGGTGCTGACGATATCCCATACGTTACGGTATTAAGTTGATATGTTCGAAGAGGCTCATTGTCGTTGTTTCTCCATAAAATTAGTTGGAATCGACGGTCATTTTAGTCCAATATAATTTGGCGATACATTTTCTCAATATCGGCCGTGAAAACGAACTTAGATAATCGAAAACGTGTCAGTATAGCGAATAAATCACCCTGGATAGTTGGACCAGTAGCTAACACATCGTTTAAAGCAGTGACGACTGCTCTAAGGTGCGGAGGTGTGCGGTGAACACCCTAATATAATTTGCAAAATGTTAAATAACATAGGTATATAAATTTATTAAGTATCTTTACATCAAGAATTATTATTATTTATTACATTTCCATATAAATATATATTTTTAAAGTTTTAGCAAAAACAATTAAATATAATTGTCTATGAAAACTCATTTAATTTGCTTCTGTTAGCCGCTATACTTGTTAGTTGTGCTCATATATTTGCAGCTCAAATCACAGAACATTTCTATTATAATTCGTCTCTCCCCTTTGTGTGCAAAGAAGTTGGCCGCACATTTCATCGTTGCATATGAACAAAATAATGTGCGTGTGGTCCCGTTCGTAATATCAGAAATAGAGATTTATATAGTGGGAATTGTATGAGAGTAATTTTCTGTTCTATTCGAATATCAACTGTATGCATACGAATCCAACATGATGATTTGCCAAAGTGGTTGCATGAGCGGCTGAAGTTTGCAGCTCATCTCACCATACATTTTTATCACATTTCGTCTCTCCCCTTTTAACAGCAGCACCCACGAATTTCTGTTCTTATTGTGCGGGGTACTTGTGCGCACATTGCAAGTGGTTTCGATTTTGTTTGATCACTGCACAAACATGTATGTTTCTAAGTACAAACTCTTTTGTTTGAAAAAATTTGGTTTGATGTTACGAGAATTATGTGAAAAGTTTTGTTTCTTCCATATTGATATAATATTAAACTTGTATATGAATTATTAATTTAATTTGATTAATATGTTAATGAATTGTTAATATAATATTGCGCGAATATATTGTTGCCTTATATAATATAGTTATTATTAATAAAAGATCTCATATATTTTAATATAAGTGGTACATGTAAAAACAACATTAAAGAAGGGCCGCACACCCTTCCAGATAGGGCACGCGTCGTCACTGGTTTAAAGATATGCTTGTGGAAGTTGGTGCAGAGGCGTCGAACACTACTCGAAGTTTCGTGGTGGAGCTCTCTGGTCGAAGAACTCCATGATGAGGCAAAAAATAACATGGATGGATTATATCATCTAGGTTAATCTCACTCATATGTCCCAGGTTGATGTACTCTTCCATAAATTTATTGTATTTTGTTTTGAATTCAGGGTCTCCGTTGAGACGTCTTTCCACAGCGAAAAAACGTTGCTGTGCTAATCTTTGCGAATAGCCTAAAGAAGTGACTTCTTCTTTGAATGGTAATTTCACAACGAATCTGCCATCAGTTGCTCTTGCCACAGATCGATTAAAGTGTTCCTCACATCGCTGTTCTTCAAGTGTTTGATCCGACGAACCTTGCTGTATCTCCTCTAGTTCCCAAAATTTATGCAGGTCGAGCTCTACATTATTTGTAAGAACACCGCAAATCGATGCAGAAGAAGAAAACCCAGAAATGCGACCACTGACCATCCAGCCAAACACAGTTTTTTGTAACATTGGATAATTATTTCCTAACGAAATTCTCCTTGGCAGAACCATGTCGTAATATAATTCAACGCCAATAAGAATATCTACTGGATCTGGTTTGTTGAATTGGGCATCAGCCAACACAACTCCTTCTGGTATAGCCCAATTTGATGTATCCAGTTCAATTGCAGGCTGATTTGCAACTATTGTTGGCAACATATGAGCTTCTATTTCAGTTTTGTAGTTATTTACACTAGATGATATAAGTGCATAGACTCTTTTTTTTGAGCACTTGTTTTTCTGACCGACGCCACTAAGATGCAGCGAGCTTGATAATTGAGTTAGCCCAAGTTTTCGTGCTGCTCGTTCTGTTATGAGGTTCACTTGTGAGCCTGAATCCAGTAATGTACGCATCATGCATTCCACGCCCTGAGAATTCAGAACCGTCATTATTACAGTTCCTAGTAAACCATAAGATTTATTCAACTCTACGGGTCTACTTGTTGTAAGCGTAGCTGCTGCATGCCCACCTAATTGGTGTAAATCGTTATTTCGCGATGAGTCAGCAGTGACCTGAGACTTGCCATTGGCAGCATAAAGTTCATGTAAAGTTGTATGATGCCTTCTTTTGCATTTCAGATAACCCTGAGATGGGCATTTTGTTAAAAAATGGCCCGAACGTTTGGCACTGAGAATCATATTTCTGCGGATTTCCGGAGGGTTTTTCAAGTAATTTTCACAAGTGGAGGTTTTATGATCTCCCTTGCATGCTAAACATTTAAACATTCCATTCGTAGTATTTAAACACGCCTTGTTAATGTTCTTTCCTCCAATTGCCTCTAATGCTTGGAAGCGAAGTTCTAAAAATTCCAGTAATTCATTTAACTGTTGGATTCTTCGTGGATCCTTCACGTTCTGTTCATACAAGCTGTGTGTTATTGGATCCAATTTCCTCGCCAAAATGAAAAGTATTATTGGATCCCAGTTTTCGATGTTGATTTCAAGATTTTAAAGTCCAAGAATAGACTCCGAAGTTGTATCATGGAGTCGTTTGATAGCTTCAGAGCTTTCAGATGTTATAATTGTTGAGAAATAAGTTTTGAAATAAAGGCATTCACAAGAAGCCGCTTGTTGTCGTAGCGCTGGCAAAGTAAACTCCAGGCACTACTAAAATTATTCTCAGATACTGTTAAATGAGCAATTAGACATGCTGCTTCTCCGTCCAAATTCGATTTTAGATAAAACATTTTTTGGCAATTCGCAAGTGATTGTTTATTTACCACTTCATTGAACAAGTCACGATATTGCCTCCATTCAACTGAACCTTGGTATTATTACTCGTGGTAACTGCATTGATGTAGATGTTAATGATGAGGTATGCGAAGACGTTGAAGCAAGTTTCAGCTCTTCCACCTTTAAGGGCATATTTTGGACTTCTCTTTCTAAAGATATAAACCCTTCTTCATCATATCCAATAGTTGCTGGATTGGATTCTAATTCACAAATGCTGTAATGGAGTTCCTCAAAATGGGCCCATAAGCGAAGAATAGAATCTTTCAACAGTACCTTACGTGGTAAAGGTATGTCCGTGGTGATATTTGGGAACAAATTTTCAATACCTGTTCATAGAAATTTTTAGTGTAGTATTCATGCGACTTGTCTTCCGAACATTCTTTCTGGAGGGTATCATCATTGATTTCAAATTGTTGCCATGCCTTCTTGAGGTCCTAAAGTCGTTTTTCAAAATATGCTGGCGTCTGCTTTCTATCGCTGGAGTCCTTTTTTAGTTCCTGATAACTACTTCGATCTCAGTTGCAAGCGTCCTTTGAGTTTGCACGATTTTCTCGATGTTATCCATTGTCCAAGTATAGAAAACAAGAGCGAAACGAGTTTATTGAGCGAAACGGCTTATTATTTTTTATTAGCGAGTTTTTAAACGCGAAAACGCGACGGACTACGCGATCAATCCTTTACACTAGGGGTCACCAATGAAAAGATATCAATAGCTTAGGTGCTATTGATAGTATTGAGTTCAGACGAAACGTCTACTCAATTGATCTTGAAGAGGGGAAGCTCCAATTCAAGTGCGTGTTATTTTTGGATTGAGAAAAACAAACTCTTTGTTGGTTTGAATGCTTTATTTTTAATGAATAATATAACTGCAATTTACCTCTTAAATACTAATGGTAAATTGCCGATATGCAATAAATTAACAAAATTGATAATTAAACTAAATCAATTACAAATTGCAATTTATACAAAAAATAATAATAGCAAAATTAACAATAATAATAAATAATAATAGAAAAAGTAACAATTAAAATAAATTAATTATAAATTGCAAATAATTAAAGTGAAAAAGGTTCTAAAACAACATGGAGTACTGCATTGTTACGAAAGAAGAAGTCAACGAACCGGTCAGCCTTAGCATTGGTTTCGGTTAGGAAATAAATGCAAGTCTATCATACAGTTCGTTGACTTGTTAACAATATATTCTTCGGCTTTTTTCTGTTGCTAGGTTCTATTTTACACTGACTGCACGTATACTACTCTGCTGTCATATTTATAATAACGAGTAATTGTTGTGCTAGTGATGTTGTAAAATGCACATGGGTATTTGGTATTACAACAAATACACGTTAATATTTTCGACAAAAGGACTTTGTACATATAAAAGATAAAGAAGTACATAATCACACTTAAATAATTGGAAAAAAAATGATACGAAAAAAGAGAGAAAACAACCGGCATAAAAGTTGTTTTCCGAATATACTTCAAAATCTATCTAAAATCCTACCACAACAAGGCCCAATGACAAAAGGACAACAAACAACGTTCAGGCAAAAACATAGAAATATAAAGACATGTAATTTGCCTCTGTTAAAAAAACATGAATTCTGAAAAGGTCCAACTTATTATTTTATGTATGAGCACTAATATTTTGTAAGTGTAATCACCAATGAAACCAATATCGTACACAACATATTTTGCTTAACCAAAATCATATAGAAAAAACTCTAATATCAGAGCAAATGCATACATAGCTTCTGGTTCATGCGTAAGAAGGGAGCCAAATAGCGTTTCTACATAATAAAATATTAATATTTACACTTTTATACATATTTATACATATATTGAAGATAACAGCTCTTTTAAATTTTTATTATTATTGATTTCTTTATAAAAAAAACCAAGTTTTTCGCATATGGATTATTCTGTTACAACTCGGACACCTTTTTGACCTCATGATCTCCGATTTGGCTGAAATTTTTTTTATATGAACTCCTTTCATAAAATAAGAAGACCCGTATCTCGGGAAAATGTTTTGTGATTTTTTTCCGAGGAGATATGGACCCCTGGGGTTTTGTGAATTGTAGAAACTTGAAATTTACAGCGTTTCAAAGATAATTGATTGAACTTTTATGAAATTGTTTAAACAATAAAAATTGTTAATACTTAAGTACAAATATTAACCGTTAAATTTCAAAAAAAATTTTTCTTGAAATATATCCACATGGATTCCATTTTTTATATTTCATTTTGATTCAGTTTTAAATTTTACTACGAAATTAAAATTTTCAAGATACCATCTTTTTTTGAAATTTTTTAATATTTTTTTTCTCCCGCAAAACACATCAATCATTTGCGGACTACATTTCCATTGAATGAATTTTCAAAGAATATACTACATATATTCCTATATAATATTTTTGATTTCGATTAGTAATAAAATTCTACACGAAACCCAAAAATTTCAGAACGATATTGTAATTAGAAGTACTTTCCTTCATAACATACCAAACACATACACACGATTTTTCAATAAAAAAAAAAAAAAAGGAATATGTCACACAAATTTCTTATTTTTACTTTTGATTCAAATTAATATATAAATTCTACTTAAAAAATAATTAATTCCAGTGTGATTTTCCTTTTAAAAGTAATTAAAAAAAATTAATTAATCAGGTGCCCTTCGCGTTACTCATACGCACCAAAGTATCATGAAATCAATTTTCGAAGGAAAACGATACAAAAACTTTTACTTTTTATTTCTGAATTGAGTTTATCATTAAATTCTACATAAAAATGAAGCTTTTAAGGACGTTAGTATTCTCAGAAGTATTTTTATTGAATAAATAAATCACAAATTTAAAATTTTTAATATTTCCGCGGATAACTCTAAGAATAGCGATGCAGAAGATGACTCGCATCAATTTTAAAAAATCTGCAGGAAAATTTTAATGGCACAGCAGATAGAACTATGAAAATAAAAATAGTGGGTGTGATACATAATTGGTCTATCCGAAAGGATCACGACTTACTTCTCAAACGCTACAATATGTATGACTACTGTTGCTTAAAAACTTTTTTTCAAAGAAATGAATCTTAGAAAACCCAAATCCAAAAAGCCACCGCTAGGAAAATATGTAACCAATAGAATTTTAAATTTTTACGAATGTGAAGAAAACAGTCAAGTAATGCCTGGGAAAAAAATCTGCGTATCCATACAAATTGACGGAAAAAGAACACAAATAAAAAAACGGCTCAGGAGTTGCATACTCTTTTCAAACTCAACCATCCGGACATTGAATGTAGTTTTTCAAAATTTGCATCTTTGCGACCACAACATTGCGTTCTTGCAGGAGCAAGCGGCACACATTCAGTTTGTGAGTGCTCCATACACGAAAACGTAAGATTAATGGTAGATGGAGCGAATATAAAAGCACTGACTGCATGCAGTAGGGAGCCGATAAATGACTATAAAGATTGTCTACACCGCATGATTTGCCATGCTTCAAGCACAGAATGCTTTTTAGGAACCTGTGCCTTCTGGAGATATTTGATGACAACATGATTGAAACCGTTACATATAAACAATGGATTCGTGAAGAGAGATGCACATGGAAAACCTTGACATCACCAATAGACGAATATTTGCAATCCTTAACAGACGGTTTAGACAAATTGCTATTGCATTCCTTTATCGTTAAGAAACAGGCAGAGTTTTTAAATGATAAGAAAAGCAACTTAGCAAAAAATGAATGCATAGTTTTATGTGATTTTTCCGAAAATTATGCTTTTGTTGTTCAAAACTCTGTTCAAGGTATTCACTGGAATAATAATCAGGCAACGATTCATTAGTTTGCAATATACCATCGTCTTGAAAATAAAAAACTACAAATAAAAAATTTCGTCTGCATATCTGACTAATTACATCACAACACAACTGTTGTACATTTGTTCCAAAAATACGCGATCAAATTCATTAAAAAAATTAGTACGGATATCAAAAAAACTATTTAGTTTTCCGATGGATCGGGTTCACAATACAAAAATAAAAAAAATTTTATTAATTTAACTCATCACAAAGCAGACTTTGGTTTGGAGGCAGAATGGCACTTTTTCCCAACTTCACACGGCAAAGGACCATGCGACGGCTTAGCTGGTACCTTAAAGAGGAATGCTGCAAGAGCTAGTCTTCAACGAATACATAATCCAATTCAAACACCAAAGGAATTATTTATCTGGGCTAACGAATGTTTACCAAATGTTGTGTGCCATTTCTCAACGTTTAAAGACTATGAAGCAGAAGAAAATAAGATTAAACACCGCTTAGAAGGAGCTATATCAGTTAAGGGCACATTAAAATATCACTGCCTTATTCCAAATTCCAAAAAAGTATTAATGGCAAAAATATT